AATTTCGCTTCAGCCTTGGGCTCCTGTTAGGGACCCAACATCACCATTTGCTAGGAATGGGGGAAGGAGAAGTTGAGAAAGGAGAGTTTCACTGTTAGTTCAGGGATTTTTAGTTTTAATAAACAAAATATATCGCCTGGAGAGACGGCAGCTGGAGGAACATGCTTATGGAAACACCAGATGTGTGTCTGCTTACTGTTCTTTTTTTAAGTTGTTTCTTGTGTTTTCCTCCTCTTCCATCTCCCTACCACCCTAGGAGAAACACAGTAAAACCGCGTTGGTTTAGAAGTGCATACAAAAATTGATCCAAGGGATGATCTTTAGTCAATTGGGCAGGTGCACTCTTGTTCCTAAATTAGGTTCTTAGGCTTTCACTTCCAAAGTACTTCACTTGGCAGAAGAGAGGACAAGGGACACTCCTTTTTCTCCAGTAAAGAAACTCCTGGCCCTTAGAGACTCTTAGGACAATCTTACATCTCAATTGCTGCCTTTGAGCGAGCTGTTTCCCAAGTGCCTGCTCTAGTATTGCCCACTTCCCTTGAGATCTGTCCTGGTTTTTATGTCTGTTTGCTTTGGGTGGGAATCTTCACTCATGGTGAATTTGGGAAATCCTGCCTCAGCCAGTTCAGAGAGGAAATGTTTTATTTGTTAGTATTTGTGTCATCCATAGTTTTTGTTAATGCATTTTAGAGTCTATTCAACTTTTAAAAAAAATATTGAACAGAACGTTTTTAAGAATAGAGCCTGTTCTATTCCTAAAGGAGGTAGATTCCTTAACATGTCATTAGTCGCTTGGATGTGATTTTTTTAGCTAGTGATATATATTTGAAACTTATCATAATTATGTCATTATAGTAATTTACCAGATATTTTAATTTTCTAAGTAACGTTGTATGTATTAATTCACTTAATCCTCATAATGCTGTTTTTTTAAAATATTTATTTTTTAGTTGTAGGTGGACACAATATCTCTATTTTATGTTTATGTGTTGCTGAGAATCCAACCCAATGTCTTACATGTGCTAGGCAAGCACTCTGCAGCTGAGCCACAACCCCCGCCCATCCTCATAATACTTTTATAAGGAGGTTTTATTTCCATTTTACAAATGACTTTAAGCTTAGTTGCATACTTTCAAGTAATGTAAAAGTCTTGGTATTTTATAATACTTGCCAGCTAATTAACTAGACAGTCACTGTTTTATTG